GAGTTTGCCCCCTCACATATACTAATGTGCCACAAACAGGACTTTAATATCACCAACCATTCCCATGTTATTACGGTGTATCCATATAAATGGCCCACCCTGGAGATTGTTACTCAGAGAGTGAAGGCCTTTAAGTGCTTTCCTCAGACTGTTGTCATGCTGTAATATCAGATTGAATTAATAACTGCTAATGCTTTCAGTTCTTTAATTGGCAGTGAAGAATCTGCAGTCCAGCAAAATTCTGAAAAGAATGATACCTGAGTTAAAGCATGTTTATTCATATGTGTAATTCATTTTTCAGTTTTTCTTGATCACTTTGAGTAGTTCTCAAATGTGGAACACATTTTCCCCACACACATTTCCCATTGTTCTTGTACGCACTGCTGTGTCTACATATTTTTTAATTAGTTTTGATGCATTTCTCAATTGAATTTCACAACTCATCAAAAAAGTTTGTACTTTGGTCAGTCAGAACTACATATCTCTCACTTACCTTAATATTGTTCAGTGTTGCATTAATATTTTCAGTCAATTCAATTCAAACCTTTTCTTCAGTATGTATGAAAGAGTCAGGCCAGTCACACACTGATAGTGAAATTGCCCTTCAACAGAAAACAAACACAAAAACATGTTCTCAGAAGAGGTGTAGTTCAAACAAATAGAAATACGTGTTCACAGACGTGTGTCATAGGTGCATCTCATGTCATGTCATGGATACACTTTCATTATAAGAACATACAGTTAAAAGCACTCCTGAACTTGGTGTTTACAGTTACAGTCTATGAAGAGCATTCTGACTGACGTCCCTGGGAGCTGTAAGTGGTATGGTTAAGTGTTTTGAGAATTTTGAGAAATCAAAATTGGAGTTCAAAGGGCTGGGTTGAAATTTGGCACTTGGTGCATTGGTTTTTCAGCATTTTCAACTTTTCATTTTCAGAAATTTTCAATGATGAAAAACACACCCAAGCTCTCTATGGAGTTTGGAAAGAAAAGCGACAGGACTTTTTAAAGTTTCTTGAAAACCTTTCACTTTTCATCTGAGAAGCTTCTTCAGTTCTAAGAGCAAATGGTGGAGAGTCCCAGATTTTTATGCCCTATTGAGAGTGCCCCTTAAGAAGGTCGTTGACCCGCTATTGATCATCTGCCTAATCACATGAGCAAAGGTATGAAAACAGATGTGGGTCACTATCAGCCAAGTGGTTCAGGACTCTCTAATAGTGACCCACACCCTTTCTGTGAATAACTGCAACCAAATCAGTTTTAGACCAGCTTCAAATCTAGAAACACTTCTGCCAGAAATTGAGGTCATCTCAACCCATATTTTAAGTTTTATGTAAAAGACTTGGATGTTATTTTGTTCTCTTGTCAAAAATAACTATTACCAGTTAACAATAACGCCTATACTATACAGTCTCCCACTGTCTCTGTTAACATATTTCACATGATGCTAAATTCTGCATCAACTCTGCTGACTGGTGCTAAAAATATGAGCATATCCCTCCAGTCATGGCTTAGCTGCACTGGCTTCCTGTCCATTTTAGAATTTAGTTTAAGCTTTAATAATGGCCCTTAATAGACAAGCCCTAGCTTATATTACCAGTCTTACTCATTGACATTCAGTTCCCAGGACTTTCAGTCCACTGGCAAAGATCTCTTAGCCCTTTCCCACTAGTACCTACTTGGCTCAACTTTACTTGGTTTTGAGGGTTTTCCATTAGGTGAAAGTACTTTGTACTACGTACTTTTTTAGGACCTACTCGATCAGGTTCCAAACTATCTAAATTGATCTGATCAACAGACTGACTGGTCAGTCAGTGGCATCATTTGAGGCATTAGAACGACTCCTTCACAAAAATCAAAATTTGAAACCTGGCAACGTGGGAACTGGCTGCACAAAAATCAGCACCGTGTCCAGGAATGAAGTCCAGACACTTACCAGCAGCAGCACGTATATCATGGCCTCAATGCCCTGGATTGTGTGTTGTTTTTGTCCCATGCAAGTGACATCACAGGATTTTTGGCTGCACTGCTATAACAACCCCATGCACGTTAGGTGGTTGTTATACTATTACTCAATTGTAATTAAAAATGACGTAGACTGAGTCGAGTCGAGTCAGTTTGAGCTAAGTAGGTACTAGTGGAAAAGAGGCATGACATGTCCTTAAACAAGGCAACAAAGCCGTTGCAGTCGCTCTGCGACAGTTGTGGAAGCAGTTACTGCTTGACATCAGGCAGCGTTCTTATTACAGGTTTATCAGGAAGACTTAACTTCTCTAAAACAGACTCCAAAACAACTCAAGTTAATCTGGGGATTTTCAAAAACTCATAGTTTATCAACTTTACATGTAATGCAATGAATTGGTCAGATACCAAAACCAAACCATAAAAAGGAAAAAGAAAATATAAAAATGTTGATTGATTGGTATCTGCTGTGAATAAACACCACAAAGCCGTCTTTTCTCCCTTTTTAAAGCAGTTTGAAAATAATTTGACTTCCAGAAACTTTTATTCCTTGTGTTACCTATGGCACATCTCTGCTGCTCAGAGTTTCGTTTACATAGTTTCATATAACAGATTGCATTATGAAATTTCTCTTTCCTGTTTCAGGCGGGTGTGTGCGGCTGTGAAGATGGCTACACTGAAGTGATGACATCTGATGGCTTGCTGGACCAGTGCACTGTCATTCCAGTGCTAGAGATCCCCACTGCAGGTGACAACAAGGCTGACGTTAAGACGATCCGAGGCTTCAACCCCACTCAACCTGCAGCAAGCTCACCAGGCAGGGCAGGACGCACCTGGTTCCTGCAGCCCTTTGGTCCAGGTAACAGAGCCATCTCTAACTGTCAGGTCTATAAGAAATGAGAATATATTTAAACAAGAAGCCCATTATGTGGATGCAATGTTTAATCTCAGAAATGGTAAAATGATTTCTGTAATTTATTTAAAAAAA